TTCCACTGCGCCGAGAAGATCGGGTCCGGCTTCTTCTCCGAGGTCTACAAGGTAGCGCGGGCGGGCGGACAGGCGGAGGGGCGGGACCGGCTGCGGCGGGGCCGGGCGCGGAGCGAGGACAGCGCCGCCTCCCGTCGCCCCCAGGTGCGGCACCGGCAGTCGGGGCAGGTCATGGTGCTGAAGATGAACCGGCTCCCCAGCAACCGGGGCAATACGCTGCGGGAGGTGCAGCTCATGAATCGGCTCCGGCACCCCAACATCCTGCGGTGAGAGGCGGTGGCGGTGGCGGGCGGGCCCCGCGCAGAGGCGGGCGCGGGCCGTGCCCTGCGGCCTGACCGTGTGTCCTGCTCGGCCTCTTGCAGGTTCATGGGCGTCTGCGTGCACCAGGGGCAGCTGCACGCGCTCACCGAGGTGAGGAGGGGACGGGAAGGGCGCCCTCCTGCGGGGGGCGTAGGAGGCAGCAGGACGGGTGGGGGGACCGCCTCCAGGGCAGGCGGCCCTGAACTTTGGGCAAACCATGCACGGGGCTCAGCTCATGTCATTCGCTCCATGTCCTGGCACAGTGACGTCCCGGGAACCCTGCGTTGATGGCAGGGTTTTTTGTGTTGTGCAGTACGGTAGCCACTCGCCACGCGTGGCCAAAGTGACCGGGGAATTGAATGCTTAGTTTTAGTTAACCTCACTGGTTTAAATTTAAACAGCTGTACTTGGCTAGTGGCTCCTGGATTGGACAGGGCAGTCCTGGAGCCTGAATGGGGGGCCCTAGAACCCAGACTGCGAGCCCTGGTAGCACAGTGCCTATAGCACTTGACTGCTAACCAGAAGCCTGGTGGTTCAAACCCACTAGTTACTCCTCGGAAGGAAGGTGGGGCAATCTACTTCCATAGTGATACCACCTTGGAAACCCAAGGAGGGGTTCCTATGAGTCAGGTCGACTAGAGGGCGCATAACAACCACCACCCAGACTCACCAGTCTGACCTTCCTGCTTCTCCTGAGCCCTGTGCCCCTGGGCTTGTAAGTGGGAGAACACAGCCCTTGACGACTCATCTCCCTCCTGCTGCCCCCGTGACCTAGTACATGAACGGGGGCACTCTGGAACAGCTGCTCAGCTCCCCTGAGCCCCTGTCCTGGCCGGTCAGGCTCCGCCTGGCTCTGGACATCGCCCGTGGCCTGCGGTACCTGCACGCCAAAGGTGTATTCCACCGGGACCTCACGTCCAAGGTAGGCTGGGCGGGG